ATGGAGAGATTTCATCTTGTTTCCTAACAGGTAATAGCCACTGATTAGAAATTGTTCAAGTGAACACATGTAATTTATACTCACTTTCGGATTGTGTATAGTGTCAATGCAGTAACAAATGGACTTGGTGTAAATGTAAAATAAGCTTTGAAAGTCTGTAGTGCAAGTATACCCAATCTAGCTACCAGCCAGTTACCTGTCTTGATACCAGATGGGTAGCTGTTAAAGCATAGTCTAATAGTCATTTACATCTTTCTGTCCCTATCTGTATTGCAACCTACACTGATCTACCTGAAATACATAATTTGCTTTAACTAGTTTACATACTGTAAGTTTTGATGCAGGAGTGACAAAGTTGTGGAAAAGATTGTTTTGAAAAATGTTTAATGGCCATTCTGAATATTGTCTAGAAAGAGTTTATAACATCTATGTCATTCCTTTATCAAAGAATTTTAAAAGTGCCAGAGAAACATTGGTCTGGAAAACACTTTTTACATGGGTATAATTTGGGCCATAAATATTTATATGCTTTCAGAAACAGTCTAAGCGAATGTTTTCATTTCCTGTGATCTGTCAAAAAATATTGTTCTAAGGATTCAAGAATCAATCACCTACCTGCTAGTATAGCTTATGAACAGTTTAATTATTTTAAACCCCACATAAAATTAGTAATAATGCTTCTGAATCAGGGTCATACTTGGGCAGTTGAACTTAATGGAGAAACTGACAGAGTTGCTGAGCTGCTCAGGGTTTGTATTTGCCTTTGAAAGTATTTGCCTTGTTAGCTGAAGGAAAGGACTGAAATGTGTAGACATTACCTAAGCAGTTCACTCGCCATGGTGATAGAGTAGATAAAAATGCCCTCATCAGGCTCTGTTGTATGAGGAACATAAGGTCAATCTTACTTTACACCATTTACAACAGACACTCATGGTAGGTTATGATGATTACATATCTAAGGGAGGCATTACTATGATTATATTTATTATAAAGGCTTATAGTAATCTTCTGAAGGTGGTAAGCACTGTAGGTGCTGGTGGCAGCACAGTATCTAGTAACACAAAATAAATGTGATTCTTTTTTTCTTTTGATCTCATTTTTTGTACAATGTGTGTTTTAAATTTTTTCTATCACCTTTCAGGACAATCATTTCCTGTAATAGATGTGATACTGGGATTTTATTGTGTAATTTCAACTATTTTAATATGCGTCAGAGATTCACATTTGTTTATGTTGGCTTTAATTCTTTGCATTTCAGAGTTACAAAACCAACATTTTTCAGATGCTTTCCATTGTCCAGCATGGGTAGACAAAAGATGGATAGACAAAGAAGGTATTACTGAATTAACACCCAGGGCCTTCTACTTTTTTCCAGTGGTATTTCTAAACAATTTGACAGGAAATGCTGGGAAAAAAAAAAAAAAAAAAAAAAAAAAAAAAAAAAGTGTATTAGTGTATTAATAAAATTTTATTAATACACATTATCATAAAAATACAATTATCGAAAAAAGTTATGAATTTGTCTTTTTTCATATCTGGTAATAAATCTGTATCAGTGGACAAAGATCACCATCAGATGGCAAGTCATCGATATTCATTCTCTTTCTTTAAATTAAAATATTTTCTCTTCTCACAAGAGTCATAGGGATTTGCACCTCTCTGGATTTAAAAATAAGCTTCATGGATCCCCTCTACATTACAGTGGTACTCCTATCATTGTAAGGGCTTATTTTGGCCCTTTAGCCAAACTAGAAACAGAATTGTTTTTGCCAAGTGAACTTTTAAGGATGTTTCAGTTCCTGTACTACCACCATATTAGGGCATCACTTGAGACTTCACATCAATCTTTCTACATAAATTTTCTGAAGAATAACTGGTCACCATGGTACGTGGCCAGTCTCTATTTCTGTGGCAATAATTTTAAAAATTCAATTATTTAAACATCCCACTTTTTTTTATTTTGATCATAGATTACATATTTAGAGAGTGATAGTGAAGTTTTGGCTCCCAGGAATTCAGCAAGAATTCTGCTGTTTGCTATTTCCAGCTTGGAATATCGTCCTTCTTCATATTTTTTGCATCTGCAATGAATATTATGCAAACAGCTTTAGGGTCTGGAATGGGTCTGTGTGGGTCTGGAAACATACTGAGAAGTCGTTTCAAGAGCGCATTTCATGACTGATTCTTTGAGGAAAATGTCAGTATTTGTTCTGCTCACAGTGAGGAAGAGGAGCTGCCAGATGAGACTTTGGTGAGCGGGTGCATCTTATTTTTACTGTAATACTACTAAGAAGAATATGTCTCCATATTCTTATTGAAATAGGTTGTTTCTCCCTTGGTACTTCAGAACTAATAGCATACTAGCTAGAATACTCTCGTATTCCCTACTAAAAAGCCTACCAAAAAAAACATGCTGAGGTATATCAACAAAGTCCCTATCACAAAGACATAAATCAAGGTATTGTAGCATGAGTAGAAAACATGAAGGTAAAGGTAAGGTGCTGCTATTTGTTATATATCTCTATTATTACTATTTTTACTTGGCAGAGAAAATGGGGACATTCTGAAATGCTGTATCTCCTACAAATGTAACAAGTATACAGCTACATGTTTTTTTGATAAAAATCTCAGTTGAACCAGGATGAGTCTTAATAATTTTGTCAGGGTCAAGAAGTCATATAAATGAGAGCATCTTGCTTTCATTTATGTATTATTGCTAGAATAGGTCCAAATCTGTCCTGGAGTGTCAGTGGCCAAGGATTTCAGCAGGTGCTGTGCCTGAAGTCAATAAAACTCCATTTGGTCTGTTTGAAACAACAACATTGACATTGGAAAGCATAATTATTTCAGAAACCTGACTGTATGCAATTTTTCAACTGGTGTCTTTTTTATTATTATTATTATTAGTGTGTGTGTGTGTGTGTGTGTGTGTGTGTATTTGTCACACATTTCTGCAAACAGGTCAAAAGAAGCAGTGTTTTCATAAATGTTTATGAACATGATGATGGAACAAAATGAGCAGCTGTAAGCTATGTGGAATGTATATTCTGCATACTCTTTTGATACTGAGGAAAACTCAGATGTATTCAAGAAAATGAAGAAAAAAAAAAAAAAGAAGATTCATGTTTTTCCTGTGCAGTTTGAAGAGTGAATCATAGAATCATAGATTCATAGAATCATAGAATATCCTGAGATGGAAGGGATCCATAAGGATCATTGAGTCCACCTCCTGGTTCCACACAGGTCTACCCAAAAATTCAGACCATATGACTAAGTGCACAGTCCAAATGCTTCTTAAACTCCAACAGGCAATGCCATGTCTGCGTCCCTGGGGAGCCTGTTCCAGTGTGCGACCACTCGTTCAGTGAAGAACCTATGTGGTTCCCAAGCCACCTGAGCAGTTTCTGTCAGGACTTGCCATTTTAACCAGGAGATCTCATCTCTTAGAAAATGATACTAGATGAGAACCTGTACTTCAAAACAACATTAAAAAAAAAAAAAAAAAAAAAAAAAAAAAAAAAAAAAAAAAACTTTGTGAAACTTAAAAGCATTTCAATGCTGACATGTAGAGATTCAAATATGTTAGTCATGTTAGTCTGAGAAATGTCAAGAGGGATTCCTAAACAGAATGTTTTGGAGGAATGGTGCTTTCTGGGCATACAACTGTATCAGGATGATGAACATACTCTTGTTCAGTTGTTATGCTAATATTAAAAACAAAATTATATAAACAACAGAGAAGTCTTTAAATGTCTGCCAAATAAAATGGAAAGAAATCCAGACATTGTGTTAAAAGTTTATATATCATCTATTCATCTTTTGGGGAATGTGTTTAGGTCTCTCTCAGATGAAATACTTTTTAAGTTGAACTTGCTACAGATATTGGAATAAAAAAAAAAAAAAAAAAAGCAACAAGCGTATTAGCTCAAGACAACAACGGAAAATGTCAGCAAAAGACTGGTAGCTACACAGTTCATGAATGACAAGACTACTCGGAAGAATACAAATAACGGATTGTGGGATCAGAATTAAATTGCATTTAATTTGATGTCATCAATATATAATACAAATATCATGGTTACAATGTGTCTACCTAGTTTTCAAGATGTTTTTTCTTCAGCACATTCTCAGGCATTCTTAAAGAACAAATGAGTTCAAGGAAGTGATGACAAGTGTATTTAAGAAGGACCCAAGAGGTTGGTTGGTTTATTAGATATTTTGAGCCAATTGTTAATACCTATTCTAATGCATAAGCATCCAGAAATGCATGTTGGTTTTCACAAAGCAATCATATATTGCAGTAGTCTAGACCAATGAGGTATTTTAATTATATTTTTCCTGTTGGTTAAGCTTCAAGAAATCAAGCTGGAAGTTGGATAAAAGTTATTTATGTTCTGTATATACTATTGGTGTCATGAATGATTTCACTTCTGCTGTCTCCAGAACAAAGTTCAGAAATGTCAATTAACAAGATTAAAATAGATTTTGTACATTATAGTGAGAACTGTTTCACACTTTCTAGACTTTTTGTTGTTGAGCTTAGTGAGATGTTTTGTCTGTTTGCCTTTAAAACAGACAAAATTGGGGTGGCACATTTGCTTTTTTTTATTAAGAAAGGCTGTTCATCAGGAAAGGTTTCTATAGTGATCAGAAAAATATATACAATTAAAGTTTCCAGAAATCAGCAAAACCAGATGTATTCTTTGGTGACTTGCAAATCAAATAAGTTTGTTATTGAATTTCACTCTCAATTTAATCATTTAGAGACAGAAGAGTTTAGGTAGAGTGAGCTATATTTTATTTTGTCTCACCGTCAGTGTTATTAGTGAAGTGAGTAACACCATCTCATGCAGAAACCTTAGGGCAGAAACTAAAAAGGAAATTATCCGTGCACCATTCTGTTGTTATCATCATATCATGGATTTGGATGAAATTTTGTTCTTCTTGAATTGAAAGAGAATGTTCAGTGAAGCTAGAATTTTAATCTTTATTTCTTACAGATATCTAGCCTTCTTGGCAATGAAGCTTTGAGGGAACATCAGAAATACCACATTCAGAAAGGACTGTCTGACAATGAAATAGACACCAAAAAGCATTCCAGGCTGCAGCCCAGTTGGGAATATGGTGCATCCATCTCCAAAGATCTCTTCCTTCCAATTTCTCTCACCTAATGTGTCAGCCTGCTCAACGTTTTGGGGGAGATCTCCTCTACTTGTAATAATGACAATGTGTTCTGAGTCTTGGAGGAAAACATGTTACCTCACTGTCATAGTGACAGAACATCTTGTGCCCAGAATGGTTTCCTGAGACGCTCTGCTAGTGCATTGGCAAGTTAGTCTCAAACTGTACGTAGCTGCCTGTTATGGATTATATCACAGACACTTACACTACTGTACTGAAAAGAAAATGACTATGTTATAAGATCTTGAATATTATTTTCTGTTGCATCAGTGAAAACTGTTGATATGTCTCTGCATAAAAAAGGAGATAGCTAGCACAAGATTTTCAGTATTGTTTTAATGAAAGTTATTCTTTTTATCTAACTGTGGCTTTAATCAAGAGTCCAGTGTCCTTAGCACTTAAGATTGAAGGATGAGACAGAATTACTCAGAAGAATGGTTTTCATCATCCTCTTTAAGATAGACATTTGTTTCATTTCAAATCAAATTTGATTACCTCCAAAGCATGTGAAACAACTACCTGTTAAAAACAGCAAAAAGGATTCCCCATCCACAACCACTTCAAGGTTCACACAGAGGAGGTAATGAAGTAAACTCATTCTGTTCTTTATGGAAGTCCTATGGATCAGTTCTCACCTAACCCATGAGAATAAGAAAAACAAAGGCCTTTGCTCACCTTTGCATAGGCAGATTCAATGCCTATATAATCCAGTTCTCCTTTCATATTTTCCCATGCCATATTGTCCTCTGTTGCTACAAAGTGGTAGCAGATTGTTAACAAGGTATAAACATGTATCAGCAGATGAGCTAAGTGCTAGTTGCCATCATTGCTGCCAAGCTTTGGTCACAGCCAATATCAACGTATCCTACAGAAACAGTATTGTATCATTTTGTTTAGGCTCTGGTTTGGTACAGAGCTGATGAATACAGCTCTTTTTACATGTTTTAGGACTTGACTACTTTCTAATGTTTCTCATTAGAGGGCCAATATATTCATGCCTATATATGTAATTGCTTGATATTGCTATAAAATCCTAAATATTCAGACATTAAGTATTCCAATTAAGTATTCCAAGATCTTCAGATGTTTTTAGATGTTTCAGATAGTCATAAAGTGTTCATCTTCAGTTATCTTTTAATACTAAATTATTATTCTTTTTAACATGCCTTATAGTTTTGAACTCTTAACATTCTTAACATTCTTATTTCTAAGCTCTGCACTGTAAATGCAGGTGCTAGGAAGTCTTCACACACACACACACACACACACACACGCACACGCACCCTTTATGAGATCCTAGGAGATGATCCTAGGAGATGAGGTGTTAAGGAAAACATCCATTATTATATAATCTCTGATCAAATCACCAGAGGAACAGCCCTAGGTAGGATGGATCAGTGGTTCACATGAAGAAGTGTGTTACCCTTCTGCCCTGCTTCACCCATCTTGCTGTTAACCTCAGTTACATAGTCATAACTTCAATTTCCTCCCAGGGTGAAGGTTTGGGGTTAGATTTCAGGTTGACTTTGCACTAATGTTGGCTTCATTTGTAATCCTGCAGTCTTCTGCTACAAATGAGAAAAAGCATCATGCTGTTCTGTCAAGTTTTCCTATGTTATATAAACTCTAACCTCTTGATAAACATTTTCCATTAAGATTATTCAGGATCAAAAAGATCTATCTCCTTCCTTGAACAAATGTTACCACTGTGGGACATGCTAGAAAACAGAGGGACTTAATCTGGTATTTGGAACTGTAAATCCCAATGCAATCTGAATTGGTAGACTGCTTCTGATGCCTCTGTGTTACTTGCTCAATCACTAGAGCAGTAGCCTCTGCGTTTAAAGAGAGTATATAGTTCTCACTAGTTCCCATTGACTGTCTGCCACAGTGCATAAAGTCATGCAGAACCCAAATTAATCTCTCTCACATTATTTGGCTTATTACATACCAAACTGACAGGCTTCTAGGCAGCTTGGACAGATAAGACAAAAGTATGGAAACCAACAACTGTGCTCACTGTGTCAAAATTATGTTGATCATCCTGTTTAAAGGAAAAAAAAAAAAGAAAAAAAAAAAAAACATTATAAAGGCTAAGTTTTACATCATTTTAATACAAAATTAACATAGTAACAATGTGCAGATACAATCAAAACATATATTTGCAACATCTGTGATTAGAATCTTCGCAATTTTATTTTAAATATGACTGGCAATAACTAGAGAAGAACTTGGTAACAATGAGGAAAGAAAGTAATTATATCCCCTGTTGACTATCCTAGATGTATCCTGTAAATACATCTAAATTAAATTAAAAATAAAGAACATAAATAAAAATGGTGAATCAGAGGTTCACAGCAAGATGAAAATATTACAATTGCATTATTATGGATCTTGTAAATGTTAAATAAAGCAAAGACAATACAATGGACTTTGACCCACTCAAACAGTATTTAAAAGCATAGTGTATACAATGTCTGTCACTTAACTGGAAACTAGTATAAAATGAATGGTTCTTATCATTCCCCTTTGTGAGAACTCAGATCATGGAAAAGTAATGATCCAATGAAGTTATAAGAAGTTCCCATTTAGTGTAATAAATAAATAGTGGTTTAATACTGAAATAAAACTAAGTTGTTTATTAAGTATGGAGGCTCTTTTTTCCAACCTTAAAATATTTGACACATAAGACATTGCAAATTAGTAAATTGCTGTACCATACCTTGTCAATTTATTGCCATGTCAAAAATTTCTGCTGCTGTGGGTTTTCCAAAAGAAGAAGCATGGCAGTATCAGGAGGTGGATGGAGAAAATGGCCCAGCATCATTTGTGATCTTACAGGGAAATAAAATATACTAGATATACTTGTTTAGAACAATTAGGTTTTTAGTTTCCCTTGGAAAAGGTGTGTCTTCACAATTTCCAGATAAGACTCTGGACTGGCATAAAAATTCTAATTCATGTGAATTTTGCATGCATGTGTGGTCCAATCATAGAATAGAATAGAACAAAAGAACAGAACAGAGTAGTTCAGTTGGAAGGGACCTACAAAGATCATCAAGTCCAACTTCCTGACTACTTCAGGGCTAGCCAAAAGTTAAAGCATATTACTGAGGTCATTATCCAAATGTTTTTTGAACACTAACAGGTATGGGAGCATCAAACACCTCACTTGTAAGCCTGTTCCAGTGTTTGACCACCCTCATGGTAATTAATTTTTTCTAATGTCCAGTCTGATTCTCCCCTGGCACAGCTTTGTGTTGTTCCTTCACATCCTGTCATCAGTGAGCAGGAGCAGAGACTAGCACCTCCCTCTGCACTCCCCTCCTCTGGGAGCAGGGAGGTTGCCTCTCAGCTCCTTTTCTCCAGACTGGGCAACCCAAGTGTCCTCAGCCTCTCCTCATAGGACATGTCTGCCATTCCTCATACCAGCTTTGTTGCCATCCTCTAGGTGCTATCAAGTAACTTAGTGTCCTTTTTGTATAGCGGAGACCAGAACTCCACACAATAATCGAGGTGACACTGCATCAATGCTAAATTTAGCGGCAGAATTCTTTTTAATGGATGGCTGTGCTATTTTTAATGCACCCCAAAATGTAGTTTGCCCTCTCTGCTGTCAGGGCACATTGGTGCCTCATATTGAGGCACCTACAAACAGAACAGGATGATACTGTTTGCAATAAACATATGTTATACAACAGTAGCCAAAATAAGAAATATGCTTCTAGGCTTCCCAAATAAATAAATAATTAAAATAAAGCCCTTGATATTTGGCAAGATTATTATTTATTCTTTTGATTTTATCCAGAGAAATAGATAAATGCATCCACCTGCAGAAGATATAGCTAATTGCAGTGATTCATGAAAAAAAGTCATCTTGGGACTTCTCTCAATTAATTTCCAATGGTCTTCGGAATCCAGAGAGGCCCCAGTTGACTGGAAGCTGGCAAATTTGGTCCCAGTTTTCAAGAAGTGCAAGAAGAAGATCCTGGCAATTACAGGCCTGTAAGTCTCACTTCAGTGCCTGGTAAAATTATGGAGAAGATTATTCTGGGAGTTATTGAAAAACACGTGAGTGTAGTCATTGGTCAGAGCCAACATGGGTTCACTAAGGGAAGGTTATGTCTAACAAACTTAATTCCCTTTTATGACAAGATCACCCAGCTAGCTGACCAAAGGAAGCCAGTCGATGTAACCTTTCTGGATTTCAGTATAGCTTTTGATACTGTCTCTCACAGTATCCTTCTGGAAAAAATTATGAGAATACAGTTGGATAAATAAGATGTCTGAACAACTGGTTGACAGGTCAGGCCCAGAGAGTTCTTTTAACTGGGGTTATATCAGGCTGGTGAATTCTCACTAGTGGGGTTCCCCAGGGCTCCATTTTAAGGCCAATCCTCTTCAATATTTTCATAAACAATTTGGATGAAGGACTTGAAAGGTTTTTGAGCAAGTTTGCAGATGATGCCAAATTGGGTGGAGCTGTTGGCTCTGTAAAGGGTGGTTAAGCCTTGCAGAGAGATCTCGACAAATTAGATAGCTAGGTAATCACCAACAATATGAAGTTTAACAAGAGCAAATGTCAGATTCTGCACCTGGGAAGGGACAACCCTGGCTATACGTACAGATCAGGAGATGAGATGCTGGAGAGCAGGCCCACAGTAAAGGATCTGGGGGTTTTGGTCAACAACAAGTTGAATGTGAGCCAGCAGTGTGCCTTGGCAGCCAAAAGGACCAAGAGTATCCTGGGGTGCATCAAGCATGGCATTTCTAGTCAGTCAAGGAAAGTGATTGTTCCACTCTACTCTGTGCTGGCGTGGTCTCACCTTCAGTACTGTGTGTGGTTTTGGCATCACAGTATAAGAAAGATATAAAGCTGTTAGAGAGTGTCCAAAGGAGGGTAACAAAGATGGTAAAGGGTTTAGAGGGGAAGACATATGAGGAGTGGCTGATGTCCCTTGGTTTGTTCAGCCCAGAGCAGAGCAGGCTGAGAGGAGGTCTCATGGCAGCCTGCAGCTCCCTCACAAGGGGAGCTCTGCTCTCTGGGGACAGAGACAGGACCCGAGGGAATGAGATGGAGCTGGGACAAGGGAGGGTCAGGCTGGGTGTTAGGGAAAGGTTCTGCACCCAGAGGGTGGTCGGGCACTGGGACAGGCTCCTCAGGGCAGTGGTCATGGCACTGAGCCTGCCAGAGTTCAAGAAGCATTGGGACAATGCTCTCAGACACATGATTTGTTTTTTGAGTGGTTCTTCAGAGACCCAGGAGTTGGATTCAATGATCCTTGTGGGTCCCTTCCAACTTGGATATTCTGTGATTCAATGATAAGGAACAGGACAGTATGTTCCAGGTACCAGAGAAGGTATTTCTCCATAGAGAGGACAATGTTGGAGTATACAGCCACACTGCAGCCTGTGGAGTATCCCCATGCCAGAGGTATTTGCTATATGGGTATTTGCTGAAGGACCTGTTGTCCGTGAACCTGCAGTGGAGCAGGTTTGTCTTGAAGGACTTCAGGCCATAGAAGGACCCATGCTGCAGCAGAGGAAAATCTAAGGAGGGAGTGGCAGAGAGGAGGTGTTAGAGAATCAAGCCACAACTCCTAAACCCATACCCCTGCTCTCTTTGGTGGAGGAGGAAATGAAAGAGTCAAACAGCTTGGGAAGAAGGTGGTGTTGTGGAAGATGTTGTTTTACTTTTTGTCTTTGTTTCTCAACATTGAAAGCAATTTTAATTTTGCTTTTTTTTTTTTTTTTTTTTTTTTTCCCCCAAGTCAAGTGTCAAGTCTGGTTTGCTCACGATGGTATCTGTCTTTATCTTGGCACACATTTTTTTTTTTTTCTCCCTCCATTCTGTTCAGGAGAGGGAGTGAGAGAGTAACTTGGTGGTCATGTCAGCTGGCCAGGATCAACCCACCAAAGAAAATATGCGTAGAGAGAATTCAGCATTGAAATTGAAGCCTCACGGACAGAACTTGTTTAAGTGGATGCCCACTCCAGTCACATCAGCGGGGTTGGAAAATCAGTGCAAGTCTCCCACAGACTTTCCTCATCTCAAAACTTTGTTATTGTCAGCAAGAGCTAGAAGCATAAGAATGGAAGGAAGGGGGAGATGAGAGAAAGACCATAGTCTAGAGGAAGAGGTTGGTGTGTAGTTGCAGTGGTGAAGAAAGACTGCTCTCAGGATGCACACACTTTGCTTATGTGAGTTACAGCAGTGTGAGAGAATGGCAGACTTACAGAAAATGGAGTGAACTCAACAACCTTTCAGATACTGCAATGTTAGAAGACTGCATGAGAGAGCACAGAAAAAAGGGGTAGCAAAGCAGCTAAGAGAGGAATGAGTATCACTGGGAGCTGGTACCACAGAAATCAGAAAAGTAGGGACTGAACTAAACACAGGAGTACAAGGGTGTGATAATGAAGATCAGATACAGAGATATAGGAATAAGGAATGCTGAAAAGAACAAAAATGATGGCTAGTGAAATAGTCTTCAGAAGACCTATCAGAAAGAAAACACAAGTAGGGACCATTCGTATGTAGAGCTAGGGCTCAGGAGGGGAGGATGAACTTCCATTTAAAATTTGTTTCAACACACACTCTATTAAAATTGGAGAGTGGTGCTGAAAGAGATTTAAATAGAGTTGATTTCCTGAGCTTGTAATGAGCCCATGCACTTTGGGTTTGGCTGATTTTTTTTTTTTTTTAGTTTAGTTTAGTTTAGTTAATTTTGTTTTTCCACAGGAAGAAGTAATAACATTTTTCAAACCAACTGTAGTTTTGGTCCAAATCAGTTTTAAGATTCTAGTTTGGAAATTACAGGATCAAATTCTCACAAGCCTTCTCAAGAGATTATGGCCCAGCAAAGATTAAGGTATTTCTGCTGTCTTGATCTGGATCCAGGAATTCCTTCCACTTTTTAGTCTTCTTTCCAACCAGTGCTGTTAAGGTGCATTTGAATCACAAGATTAGACTTGCAACAGTTGTTTTTCTCTCTCCTTTGTCCTCTCTCTCCTCCCATGTCTTAACCCCCACCACTTGCCAAGGTTTCACTCCATCCAGTCTATATCTCATTGCCAGAAAAAAAAAAAAAAAAAAAAAAGAAAGAAAGAAAAAAGAGAGAGAGAGAGAGAGAGAAAACAACACAGTTCACCCTTCTGTTTTTTAATAAGATCAGATTTTGAGGCTTTAGTTTTGACTCATGTCTATATGAGGTAAAAACCACTCCACTTTTTTTTTTTTTTTTTCCCCAGTCTTAAAAAAATGATACTGCTTTGGTTTTGTGGTAAAAAGGAGATTAATGTCCTTGTGTATTCTCAATAACTTTTTCTTTTCTTTTTCTGTTGCATTCAGTTTTTGCATTGATTCTGGCCACTGTTAGACTAAATCTACTGGGCTAGATTGATAGCTGGTCTTAAGCCAGCATGGCTTTTTCCTATGTTTTGAAGTGTTCCTGCTGACTTCTGTTTTGTGACATGTTTTTGGACTGCCATGGTACAATGCTGTCAAGCAAAAATATAATTGTTTGATTTTATTTCCATCTACTGTCAAAAAGCTTCACAAGGTGGCCTTTAGCTTTAAACTCAGGAAGCACAAGTATACACACACATGCAGAGATACACATTCATCTGTCATAGACGTTGTCACATT